GGCTGCGGGGGCTGGGAAGGGTGGGCAGCGGCTCCGGGAGCGGTGATGAGGCCTGGCAAACTCATCACACATGGGGGGCTGGGCAGGAGGTGGCCTGGGGACTGCTCCTGCTTCTGGTCCTGGTCCTGGCCCTGGTCCTTCTCCTGCTCTGCTCCCGGTCCTGGTCCTACTCCTGGTCCTGCTGCTCCTGCTCCTGCTCCTTCTCCTGCTCCTTCTCCTGGTTCTGCTCCTTCTCCTGGTCCTGCTCCTGGTCCTGGTCCTGCTGCTCCTGCTCCTGCTCCTGGTCCTTCTCCTACTCCTTCTCCTGGTCCTTCTCCTGTTCCTGCTCCTGCATCTGCTCCCAGTCCTGCTCCAGCAGCACCCACTGTGCCCAGGCTGGGCCGGTTGCAAGACTCCGGGATGCACTGGGGGGGTCCGGGTGGAGGTTGAGAAGGGCCCTTTTTACAACTCCCACACCCCGCACCCCCAGCTCCTGAGTTGCCACCTCCTGGGCACAGGTCTGGGAAAAGATGCTGGTTCTTCCCAGCAGAAGCTCTGGGAGCCAGGAGAGCCCAGAGACAGGTCCCGGCCATGGTCCTGCCTCTTGGTGTCTGTGTCCGGCTGGAGGTGCCGGGGTTGGGGGAAGGGCTGGTGCGCAGGGGTGCTGCGGGACCCCATCCCCGAGGCTCTCCCGCTTCTGGGCCAGCACACGCGGGGCTCACCCGGAGCGCTCAGGCCCAGGCTGGAAACCTGAAAGGACCCCAAACGCCGCTGAAAGGAACCCAAACCCTGCTAAATTCAGCCCCTCTGCAGTGCACTCTGCACGGGGGGAGCGTGGGGGAGAGTCCAGGGCCAGGAGAGCCCGTGGAAGAAGGAAAAGAAAGGCCCACACCGAGGTGTCATGGGCACACGCGCACTCCCCACTCCTGGAGTGCAAAGGACACCCCTGAACCGTGTCCCCAGGGCCAAAACAGCGTTGAACGAAGGGAATATTGATTGGACTGGACACTCAGCTCTCACCGGTTTTTTGTTCATTCAAGGTTTGATGTATGAGCTAGCCTTGACATTTATCAAACCTGTCTCTTTGGCGGCGGGTCCACCTCTGAGGGTACCTGCTCACCCACCACTGATGCTGGCCCAGAGCTCAATGAGAAGGTGACGGCCACACTAGAGGACTTGGTTCCTAAGCTACCTCCAAGCTGGTCGAACAGGTGGGGTGGGCCAGGCCTTCTCCCTTCCCCAAAACTCCAGATGGGGCATCCTGGGAACTCAAAAGCATCATGCACAGCTCATTCACCAGGGAGGCGAGCCTTGACAGAGGTGCTTTGGGGTCTTCAAAGCAGGGGTGCACAGGTGAATGTAGACCTTGAGACTCCAGTTATGGTTGATGGAGAGGAACCAAAGAGTCTACAGTGCAGTTCATCTCCTCCTAACATTGACTTCTGTAGCGGGGTGGGTGAATGGTACTATGGACGCATCACCTTAAAGCCTACAGAGATGCTGAATGACCAGCTCAGATGAAGACATCTATAAATGGGGACACGACAGCATAGCAGAGATGGGTCCTACCCCTGGTGCTGCCCAGGCTTTGGAAGAAAGCTGCCCACCAGTTCTGGGCTGCTGAAGCTCTCAGACATCACTTCTTGGAGCTCTGCCCAGGGAGCCCTGGGAGCTGCTGCGTGACCCGTAGCAGGGAGCTCTCTTGCAGCACAGTGCTTACTTCCAGGCTGTTTAGCTCCATGCCACACTCTCTTTTCTTTTTCTGCTATAAAATCCAAGGCCCCCCAAGAATCTGGGCATCTCACCCCTTGAGCACACAGATGAGTGACCCAGGCCAGGGTGTCCGTGCCGCCACCCACCAAAGCCTGCTGGAAAGCGTTTAAAGTCACCCATGCTCTGCTGAACTGAGTCTGGAAACTCCAGGTGAATGCAGACGTGTTTGAAGAGATCTCGGGGGGAGCCCTGTCCTTCCTTTATCTTTTAGAACTGAGTAATTTTGGATGGAGTACGGCTTGAACACTGCACCAGATCCCTGACACCCCACTCTGTTTCACAGGATTGAGGGCTGAGGGCCTGGGGTGAGGGTCTGGGGACCATCAGTGGGTCCAATTTCTCCACCCATGGAGCTTGTAGCTCTAGTCCCCATACAGAGCCTTGATGGTTGTGGGGAACCAGCAAGGTGGCCACCACCACCAGCCATCCCCAGTAACAGCAACGGGCGTTGCCCGGCCCCAGAGGGACAACCCCAGCCTACCCGTGTCCCACCGCAGCCAGCTCGTAAACCGGAGGAGGGATACGTGAACCCCCTCGTTCAAATATTACCAGCACGTCACAGCTTTGGGTCTGGAGGAGAGAAAATGCTCTGTGTTCTTGAAAAAGATTCCTGCCTTTGAAAGCCGTGCAGGTAACGGGTGCCCCTGCTGACGGACTCTCTTCTATTATTCCATGTGTTTTAGTGCAGCGCAGAGCAGATGTATTTTTAAAGAGGCCGGTGCTTGAAGTTGGCTCTGTTCCACTACAGGGGAAAGAGGAGTAAAGCAGTAATTACAGGCTTCGTAGGTGCCCGAGCAGGGAGGAGGACGGCTGGGCTGGAGGGGGAACCCGGGAAGAAGGCTGGCAATTAGCTGTCTTTGGAATGAGTTTGGGAAGCGGGGCAGGGTACTGACCGCAGGGTAGGGGAGCCGGCAGGACGGCTCTCCCCCTCCCCAGCTGACCAGTTGCTCTTCACAAGTTCCAAGTCCTCAGTCCGGCCGTGGGTTTCCCCATCTGTGCTCTTTGCTCTCTGCTGCCGAATGCTTCCCCCAGCTCCGGGAAGATGCTGGGGATTTTGACCGAGCGGGGAGCGCAGGATCAGGCCCCAAACCGTGTGTTCCCCCAGGAGCTCAGCTGCTCCAGGTGAGGAAAGGTCTTTCTGCGTTGTCAGATCAGATTGGGGCATAGCGGCAGGGGGAGGTTGGTGACCTGCTCTGAGTCGGAGAGGAAACATCTCGGTGGGTGGAGGAGATGCACAGGGAGAGCCTGGGGAGAGCTCCCGGGGTGGGGGAAAGCTGAGCTGGAGGGGCTGGTCTGTGTCGCTTGCATCCTGATGCTCAGACCTGGAGGGATACTCACGGACCTCGGCGTTTGGTCACCCGGGCATCGCACTGCCGGGATGGGGCCACTTTCAACCCAGTCTTGTCCCAAGAGGGTTGGGAGCTCCAGAAAGCAACAGAAAAAGCTGGTTGACGCTCACCATTGAGATACCTCCCAGTCTGCATTTCCAAGGACCAAATTCTGAGTTTCCTCCTCTTGCTGGCAAGATCAGGAGTTGGGGTGCTCCACCTGCCTGCAGTGTAAGTGGCTTTAATGGTCGGCTCTGGTGCACAAAACCAGAGCTCTGTGCTCCCCATGCTCATCCCAGTGACAGGAAGGGATCCTAGTAAGGTTATAAGCATGTTTTTATTTTAAGTCTGCATTGAAGAAATCCTTCCAGATATTTAATCTCGTGCTTTTCCCACGCAAAGACCAAGGTCTTGGTCTCACCAGCCCTCGCCTGCAGGACTAGCTCTCTGCTGAGCAGGAGCCCTACCGAAGACCTGCGGGAACCGTCCCTCATTTTCAGCCATAAGCTCCAGGGAAGGGCTGTGGGATTCAGCTTTGGATTGTGGGATGAATCAGAGAGTAGGAAAGCTCTCACTGGATTTTAGAAACTTTGGGATCCCGGAGATAGAGAAATCAGAGATAAAATCCATATTTCATTTGCAGCATCTCACCAACATTTCCAGCAGCTCCAGGAAAAGAAGACCTTTCCGAGAAATATGAATATGTCAGCTCAGAATGATGTTTTATTTATACCAGGCAAAGAAGATTTTAATTTCACACCAGGAAAAAAGCATGTGCTTTTGTAGAAAATCTTGTTCGACTGTATTATGTGACTACCGAACAGGTACCTGTGGATCAGAGGGCGTTCGTTTCGCAGCGCGTGCTCTCGGTGACGCACACCACAACCCTTGTCTCCAGCGAGTCAGCAGAACTCTGCCCCGCTCACTGCCAGCTCCAGGAAAGCGCTTCCCAGCCTCGCGGCACCTTGCTGGCGGCTAAATGGTGGAGCAGAGCCCCGTTCATCTCCCCGGTGACACCGAGCACCCATCCCAAGCAGGAAACGCCCGCTGGCCTTGCAATATGATGGAGGGGGGGGTTTCTACACACGTGTTCGTCTGGATCTTGTCATCTATCCAGACTTTGAACCGGTTCCTGACACCAAGGTTAACACTCGGTGCAGCATTTTCCCTGGTGTTTATCAATATTTGCGCTGTGTACCTTGGGGTCCCAAGGGAGATCAGCAGTCAGGATCCTCAGGTTAGGAAAGACAACTCCATTGTCCCATTTTTAGCTCTGTGTTGCCGATACTAAAGCAAGAATGCAGCGCTGGGTGGGGGTCCCGCTGGTGCTGGTGCAAGTTTGGGGCAGGAGAACTTCATTTGTCCGGTCACCAAAACCAGTGAATATGATTTTAGAGACCCGTTTTCTCACTCGGAGTCACACCACGAGTGAATCTGTTCCCCGTCATACCTCCCTTATGACTTTCTGTCTTTCTCCCCTCTTCATCTTCTCCCTCCTCTCCCTCCATCAACTCTTCTGCTCCTCTCTCCTCCCTCTCCCCTGTGCAGGACTCGCTCTCCTCACAGTCTGCCCTCTCACACGTGGTCCAGCTCTAACGCCGGGGTTCCTGGCGTTCCCACCCCATGGGAAAAGGCGGCAACACGTCCCAGGCTGAGCATGGCTGTGCCAAGAGGGGATGGTGTTTCCCTCCCAAGACCACCCAGCCTTCCTGCTGTGGGGGACACTGGCATCTGGGAGGGCTTCCCTTCTCCATGTGGTCCTTCAGAAGGAGCCTTCAGCGCAGACCCGCTCTCATCTCGCTGCGCGGAGGAAGCGGACGATGGACCTGCCCGGCCTCTGCTCTCCTCTGCTCTCCACCTCGGGCACCAGGAGCTCAGCTGGTCTGCTCGGGCAGACAAACCGGGACCGAACCGACAGCAGGGAGACACCGAGGGAGTCCCAGGCTCCAGCCTCTCCCATCAGAGACCCAAAGCTCCCCGCCGGGAGCCAGCGAGGCAGCACAGCCTCCCGCGCACGGGCTAATGGCTTCTGATGACTCTTCCCGGAGATGCTTCAAGGGTCTTTGCCCGGGTTTCTCCCTCGCAGGCTGCTCTGCTCTGTGCCTCTTCCGTAGTGGGGGAGGGGGGCAGCTCGACGCGCCCCTTGTAGCCAACACCATGGGAATCTTCCGCTCTGCAACTGTTCTCAGCCCCCCACCAGCTGCGTGGTGCGGCCCGCCGGGTCAGCAGGACGTGGGGCCGGTTCGCCGGCCGTGACTAATTCGTCACGAAGCGCAGCCCCTCCGCTCGTTACCTTCGTGCTGCTGTCCGCTCTGGTGTGAAGGCAGGTGGACAGGCAGGGACACGTCCCCGAGGGGTGCGACCCAGACGGGGTGGGGGTAAGGGCAGGTGGTGGGCAAGCTGATTGAGATGCTGAGTTGGATTCCCCGCGGCTCGTGGAGGAGCCCACCTCCGTTGTGAGACAGGGGACGAGAAGTGGTCAGCCTATTCATGACACCAGCTTCTGAGGTACAGGTTCCCCTCGGGAAACTTTGAGCCTTGGGTCAAATTTTGTTCTCAGATGCCTTGAAATCGCGGCAGACACCCCAGGTGGCACTTACACTGCCGAAAGCCAGGTCTCTGGGAGTCCGGAGACGTGCAGGCAGCAGTGCCCGAGGAATGAGTAACATGAGGAAGAACTTCTTCCCTCTGAGGGTGACAGAGCACTGGAACAGGCTGCCCAGAGAGGCTGTGGAGGCTCCCTCCTCCTTGCCAGCTCCCTTCGCGCAGAGCTCGCAGCCTTTGGCAGAAGCACCGCAGCGGTTCACGACGTCTTGATGGGCTCTTCAAGGTCCTCTACAGCCTGCTGTAGGTGACCCTGCTTCGGCAGGAGGGTTGGACTAGATGACCCACAGAGGTCCCTTCCAACCCCGACCATTCTGTGATTCTGTGATTCTACCTGGCCCCGGGGAGCAGGGTCCCCGCACCTGGGCGTCACCTCCAGCCTGGACTTCTCGCAGGAGTTGCCAGGATCTGTCGGTGACTGCAAGCGATGAGAAATGCAGGCTTGCCATTCAGCTGAGAGCTGGTGTCCCATCCAAACAACACGCCGACCGGCATGGTGCTGCACCAGCCGGGAGGAGGACAGAGACCCAGGCACAATTACGGACTCATCCTCGTGATGTACCGACCCTCGAGTCCCAGCCAAAGGCTCTTGACCTTCTGCCACCCCAAATCGACGCTGCGATCCAGTTTGGACATGCTGTTTTCCTTTGCTCCCTGCCTGGCAGGGTGCTGTTAAGCAGCTGCCATGCTCTGCACCAGAAGCAGCTGCGTTGAGCGCTCCTCTCGCCGGGGGAAGCGGCTGATTTGTGCCGTGATGGCTGTGCATCCCCCCTGTGAACAACTGGCTGTTGTACGATCCTGCCCCAGCCAGCCACATGCTTCATAATGTCAATTGTAGTTCAGTGTTAATTATTTATGATAAAACTTCGTAATGTGCCGTTAAATGGGCTGCAGGATATTTTGGTTAAATTAAGGAAACCTTCAGGCTCCCTCTGTAGAGCCTTGTAAATGCTTACAAATATCTGAAGGGTGGGTGTCAAGAGGATGGGGCCAAGCTTTTTTCAGTGGTGCCCAGCGACAGGACAAGGGGCAACGGGCACAAACTGAAGCAGACGAAGTTCCGTCTGAATATGAGGAAGAACTTCTTCCCTCTGAGGGTGACGGAGCCCTGGCCC